TCCAATCTAGCTTGCTACTAGGCAGCAGATGATGGCCCAAGGATTTGGGTTTCTGCCACCTATGTGGGAGACCTTTAATGGGGTTCCAGGATCTTGGCTTTGGCTCAGCCCTAACTGCTATAGGCATTTTTGGTGTGTGTGTGTGGGGAGAACCAGGAAGACACATGAAAACATTTAAACCAACAAGATGTGTATTCTTATTGTTCCATTTTTACAGATGAGTGAATTGAGGTTCAAAGAAATTAAATTACATGTCCAAGGTCTCATAGCTGAATAGTAGAGCCAGGATTCAAAATAGTGATTTGGGATGGCGGATGGCACATGGGAGGAGGTGAAGCAAGGAGCCCTGGGGATGTGTACCTCATTGTCCATCACAGCATCATCTCTGTGAACCATGCTGACTCACTGTTGTCCTGTTACACTGTGTGTCTCACGGAACCCAGGGAGTAGGCAACATTAAAACAGAACTTGTAGCTTCTCTTCCAACCAATGCTGTTTTAGTCTCTGAATGCTTAATTGATATTTTAAAAGCATTTTCTGGGTTTAGAATTTGTTTTATTAGAGCTATTTATGCCAAAGTATTATATATGTAAAAAAGTTGCTAAACTGGTTATCATTTGTATAATCTGTTTTTTGTGTTTTTGATGCAAGTCTAGAAAATGCATTTGTGTTACATATCTATGTATACATAGATGTGTTTACAAAAAATAAATATACAGAGAGAAAAATGCTTATTACTAAAAACATAGAAAGAACAATAAGAAATTAATTTTTCATAAAATCAAATATTTAACCTCCAATAACATTCTTTCTGACTGCCACATGTCTTTTAATGCCTACATGTACATGTTTATTATCAAAATAATAATCTGTTAAACATATCCCATGACAATTATGTTATATATATAACATAGTACATTGTTTTTGTTGTCTTTGTTGTTTTTACTTAGACGTATCATGAACATTTCCCATGCTAGGAAATATTCTTCTGCTCCCAGTTTTGGGGAGCAGTGGATAGTCATCTTCCTCAGGTGCTGTAATTTAATTAACTAGTTCTTTCACATTTTGTTTACTCGGATTTTTGCTAATGACTTTGATGTATCTTATGCTTCGTTGGCATTGACAATCTCAGCAAAAGAGGGTATGAATTAATTCCATGGTGTTAGCATTTATGTGAAGGGTGACTTTGAGATCATTTTCACTCGACTGATAGAATTTTAAGACCTTAACAAAAGAGACCTTAACAGTCACCTAGGGTAGCCTCCGTTGGCCAGATCTCCCCTGCAGCTTTCCTGACAGGTGATCCAGCCTCTGACCTTGAGTGGGTGTTGCTCACTGAAGACCACAGCCCTCTGCTCTTTTTTACAGCTCCTGACTTGAATGCTTCCAATCCCGCACAAGGAGCTGGGTTCTGACACAAATAGATTTTGAAAAGTTGCTTCCGAAAACTAGATGCACTGCACTTCAAGATCAGCATGATTTGCAAATCTGGGGAGGAAGTTCGAGGCAGGATGGTGGGCAAAGACAGCGCAGAATTCTGGTTTAGCTAATAGAAGCCAAGCCATTAATATAGACAGGCAGAGCGTGCTCTCTGATTTGTGAGCTACAGTTATTCTAATTGATTTCTGCATACTTGCGGATAGGAATCTGCCCTCTTCCATTTATTTTTCTCCTGACAAGTAAGATGTGAAATGTTGTTCCATGCCTTTCTAATTTAAATGTTGCACATGTTGAGAACTGATCTCGCCAGCCATTTTAAGCTTGGCCAAAAACATAACACATTGTTGTTATTAGCCTTCATCATTTGGTTAGAGCCAACATTTTGTTTGGAACTATAACAGCGTATAAATCTCCTTTATAGGCATAACCTATTTCTGCCATAAAATAGATAGGATGAGAAGGCAGCACTATTTTCTTGGTGAGTTGCTTCCATGAACAACCTCGTGAGGCTGATTAGACCAGGGGATACTCATTTTCAGACTCTTCTTGGGAAGAGAGGCTTCAGTTTAATTCAGCTTTTGAGTGTGTGTGTTTGTGTTACTTTAATCTGCAAGACACTGTAGGAGGTGCTGTAGGGAACATTAAGACGGTAAGATGCCGGGGTTCATGTCAGTCTTAGACTCAGCTGAGAAGACAGACACACGGATAGTCAATATTATAGGGTGGTATGTGAAAAGTACGTGTGCACCAAGATCAGAGAGCACTTGGAGGAGAAACAGCATTAACTACAGCTTGCCCTTGGGGGCCACCGATAATGTCCTTAAAGCCATCCACATCCCATTCAACCTGCATTCTGACTAAGGCATCTGTTATGGTATGGTTTCAGTCAGTGGATACTACACTGATGACTCCTGTGATGGATGCCTAAGATTAGTTCATGTTCAACATCACTCCAATTATTTGAAGATTGAAAACTGTGTCTCCAGCAGTGCCATCCAGAGGGACTTTTCTCTGATAATGGAGAAGCTCTCTACACTGCCCACTACCATAGTCATCAGCCACTTGCAGCAGTTTGGGACTTCAAATATGGCTAGTAGGACAGATGAACTGAATTTTTACTTGTGTTTGATTTTAATTAATTTAGATGTAAATAACCATATGGGGTAGAGGCTACCACATTGGACAGACAGCACAGATTTATAGCATCCCTTTGTGGGGGATTTTCTGAACCCCTTGCTCCCAGCCAAGTTTTCTCTGCCCCACCTCCTTTTAATTTTTTTTTTCTACTCAAAAATGTGGCTAACTCCCAATGCTCACTTCTTCTCATGCCCCTGTTCCTGAAGGTTTCTTAGGCCAAGGGGAGAGTTCTTTCATAGATATCTAATGAAATGCCTATGAAAGTCTTTCCTAACCATTGAAATAAAAGGAATAGTAGCTTACACATTTCTTATGACTACCATCTGAGATTCTTTATACCTAGGACCATGGGCCAATTGTATTCATGTTTAGTTTCAAAATTCATCTTTAAAAAACTGTTTGATAGATACTCAGATAAAAATTTTATTCTAAGGCTCTCATTAGAAAAGAAAAGTTCCCCCTTTTTTCCTGATGATTGGAGTAAACCAAATGGTCTCCTCGAACTTGCTCTGAAACAATCCAGTTTGCAGCACTTTACAGGTTTGTATCTTTCTCTTGACTCACAGCCTTGGTGTCTTTTCAGACCATTGCTAGCAGTAGCAACATACATTATAATGGCTTCCATTAAAGCAGCAAAATCAAGAGAAGATACCAGCTATCTCTGAGTATAAAGTGCAACTTCTGTGTTTGTTTTGCGGTTGATATTCATTATAAATATAGTGCTAGTTGTATTTCTATATAATTCTCTATTGTTGCTTTTCTCAGAAGATTTTTGTTCTGCACTATTTTAAAACAAGGTACAGGAAGAAAGCACTGGCTTGTAGAGTTCATAAAGGCAAATGAGTTCTCTCAGAACTCGTGCTTGAGAAGTTCCCATCAACACAGTGAACACCTCTCACGGAGCAGCCTGGAAAGAGGTCCTTCTGCCCAGGTCTTCCGTCAAGGAGAATTTCTGTACCCCTTGCAGCCCACATGTGGTGATGCTGTCACTGTGCTCCTATACTTGCTGGAAATCTCTCTCTCTCTCTGTCTCTCGCTCTCGCACTTGCTCTCTCCCTGTCTTTTTTGCTCTCTCTCTCTCTCCTCTTCTTCCTGCAATGAGGCCAGAGGCTTGCAGGTTTCTTCACATATCAGAGCCAGAGAGAGGAGTTTCAGTTGCTGAGCCTAGAGCCCTCCATGTGTCCTCCTGGCACCTGCTGGTCTGTGTACCCTGCGCCAGGTGTACCAACAGCAGAGAAAGCTTGTTGAAGGCAGATGCCTGGGGATCCCCAAAAGGATACAAATCCTCAGCTAGATAATGATGAAGACATGGACAGTTGGGTCATAATCTCTTTTCTGTTCATCAGGACTCTTCAGCCTTCACCCTTTTTCATAAACTTCCACTGACAGCAAAACCCACAGGCAATGAATTTGGACACAAAAATGTTTGACCATCTCTTCTCATAGCACTCCCTTTTTCTATGTTTATCTAATGTTAGCTAGGCATATAGCCCCCCTCCCCCATCACTTGCCAATCTCCATTCTGAAGAAGATGCACAGATGGTTGTGAAAGTTGTGGGAGTAGTGGTGGTGGTGGTATGTGTGTGTGTTGGGGATGAGTCTGCAAGGGGAAGTAGTTGAGGAGCAGAGCACAGGGAGAATGCCAGCCAGCAAAGAGAGATTAACATTTGCAAATATAAAATACCTTTCTAATTTTGCTTCCCTTTCTGTTCTATAATCAGAACAAACAAAAGAGCAAAAATGGAAAATGTCTTCTCTCAGCTCCCAGAAAGAATACCCCCTCTTGTCCTGTATTCACACTCCCTTTATAGAAGATAGGAGTAAAGAGGCATACGCTGACACCTTCCCATCGTTGGGAAAGGATCTAGAGGGACATTGCTGTTCGGGGTTCTTTACTGTCCCCCTCCTTGGGTCTTCTGACGCTCAGGCTGCCACCGTTACTCCCATCAGCACCTGAGCAGCTGCACAGGGGGCTCTTTTCACAGGACAAGGTCCTTCAAAGTTGAGTGGCAAATATAGAAAGAAACAGTGGGCAGTGCTAGTTAATCTCAAATCTCTGTGGTACAGCTGGTTTAGCCATAGCATTCATGTGTCTGTTGTATGTATTTCCATGCTGGTCACAAAATTGTACCAAACTCTGTCTTCTACATTTTCCTTTGTGTTGTTGGAGTCTATATATATTTCTTTAATTAGGATCATAGCCTGAAAGCCTACTGTAGGATACTAGTGTAAGCCTGATCATCTGTCAGCAAACTTTGGGTTGCTGCATGTTTTAGTAATTGCCTTCAAATGCAGGAATGAAGTTACAGGTTTGATGAAATGCTTATAAATGGTGGCTTTGGGGAAATCAACCTGTCTATTTCAATATTGAATTCCAAATTACCCTGCATTAACACATCTGTGTTCTGCCTTTTTTGTTTCAGTACCTACTAGAAATGAAAAGCTTAATCCTACCCCCAGAACATATCCTGAAGAGAGGAGACAGTGAAGCAATAGCATATGCATTCTTTCATCTTGCCCACTGGAAGAGGGTGGAAGGGGCTTTGAACCTTTTACATTGTACGTGGGAAGGCAGTAAGTAATTTTCTTTCTTTGAAACTTCTTTTTAAAAGTATAAAAAATATGCTAAAGCTGTTTTTGCTGGGAGTATTCATGATGAGCAATGAAGACATGCCTGTGTACAGCTCTTATTTTCTCTGGTGGCCCCTCACTGAGACGTTAGTGACTTTGGCTCTCCAGTTCCCTGCTGGTGGTGGGTGTTCCTATGGGTCTACCGTGTCCACAGCTCAGAATAGATGGATTGGATCTGCACTCTTCCAGAAGAGGAGCATCCTGCCACCCAGAAGACATTCCTTGGGGTGCTCAGCCACATGTTGCTCTGATAATGATAATCTTTGGCATGGGATTAGCCTAGTCCTGGACTCGAATTACCACTTCTTGATGGCCTTTCTCAGAGGGTAGCTAAAGGCCACAGTTAGCCTTCAGCAGAGCCAGACTGGTCATATACAAGAGCAGTTATGTATAAAACAAGAATAGTGGCGCTGGACCTAGTGCTTGGCGGGAGAGGTGGCATTTGTGTGTTGGTCGGTAGGTGCCTGTTGGATGGATGTCAAGATGCGAGTAATTGCTCTCTATAGATCCAATCGTTCTGTGTAAAGCAGGCCCCAGTGGTAGGTGAGACACGCTCCCTGCCCTGGAGAAGCCTGTCATCTAGTTGGGAGTAGTAACCAGTGGCATGTGGCACTGCCTGGTGATTTTTGCAGAAGAGAGTGGTCTGTTGAATCACATGGGCATGGGCAACTTTGAGTCAAACGAGATCTGAGCCAAGCCTTAAAGAACCAGGACAGTGTTGTACGCAGTCATGTGTGAAGAAATAATGAGTAGTGGGGGTGTTTGAGAAAATTTAAAATTGTTAAAAACACAGTAGATTATTAGGTATCATGTGCATTGAAATTCTGCTAATATTAATTTAAACCAAACAAGTGTAACAAAAATATGGGCTTTTTTTTCCTTTCACAAGGAAACAAAACAGTAAATATTGGAGTCTTCTGATAATTTTTTCCCAGTTCACCCCTACTCTGAGCAGCCCCACAAACAAGTGTCTGTCTAATTCATTTCTCTGTTTATCTCTGCTGCTTCCATTTTCATTTTGATAATCTTCAGCTCCTCCCTTTTCCTGCCCTTCCCTAACCCAACAGGAATCCAAGTTGGTTCAGGAAGGGAGGGGAGAGGGAGCAAGACAGAATGGGGTAATGCCAAGTTGACAGCGATGAGACTCAAAGTTGTCTGAAAGTTGTTTTGGTTGTATTGAGAATGTTTCTCTATAGAGAATTAATAGTGGGTGCCCTTATGTAATTTACTCTTTATAATTTGAAGAATGCTGATTTGATTGGTGCCTCCACTGCTACTTAGTAAGTGTACTATACACTGCAGCTGTCTGGTTATGGCACCTGCAACTGAGAGTGGCTGTGTTACGATGTAGCACACTCCACTATGCATGTGAACAGTCCCCTCTGGCTTGCATTTACTGCTGCGTGTAAGGTGTTTTCTCAGGAAGAGACAAGAGAAATGTTTACTGAAGCATGAGAAAGAAACCAACAAGTCCAGCAGAGCTGAATATGAGAGGCCTCACTGAGCGCTGGTTGTGGAAAACTTAAATAGATACGTTGGCTTACCACACAAGAACATACTGGTAGACGAGAATTTTGGAAAGAGTAATGGAAGTTGCTCTAATAAGAAATTCACCAGTCTCTATAGTAAGGACTTGGAAAGGGCAGGGCAAGGGGTGGTAAAGACTTGGTGTTGAGAGAAGCATCACTGTAAAACAATAACAATCCTGTAAGGAATGACTGGAACTTGTGTTTGGAAATTAGTAATCAGATAACAATGGGAGGTGCCCTGAATCGCCTGAGGAACACAAGGAGACTGAGAAAAATGTGCAGTGCCACAGGGGAGTAGCACTGGGAGATGTAGTCACCTCAGGTTAGACTGGCAGAAGCCACTATCAGGACATGAAGAAAGGTGGATTTCTAGACGCAGAACAGTGTGGCAAGGCCATCAGGTACCACAGGAGAGGAAATTCTACACTGGATCCTTGCAGTAAAAGAGGAACCACTCTGGGAAAGTAGTTGTGAAAATCAGGTAACTGTGACCCCATGCAAAATGTTACAACACCATTCTACTTTTTGAAAGGGAGTCATGACATTGAACTTGAGAAAAGAGAACTTTGGGAATGCTTATTACTACTATATACCAAGTGCTTAAGAATGCCAAGAATCTTGAAGAGTGTTTGTGTAAGTGGGTAATTTACAGAGGCTTGTGTTTATATCCTTTCACTTCCTCCTCCTGGTAACGTTCTGAGGCAGTCAGGACAGGGATGGCCATCTCGGAGCTTCAGAAGAGGAATCAGACTCATGGAGACTAGAGAGTGACTCACTGAAGGTCCTGCAGCCCTGGGTGCTGAAGCCAGGATGCAAAGCCAAGGGCCCTTTTCCTTCAATCCACTGACTTGAGGAAGGACAAGAGGATCAGTCATCCCTGAAACATGGGCTCAGAAGGCCACAATTTAAGATGACATCATTGCTTACATGCTAATTGGTGTACTTTTTACACCTGGCCCCTTCCTGGTGTTTAGAAAGTTAATTGTTGAGTATAAAATTGTATTTGGGCCAGCACCATGGCTCAATAGGCTAATCATCCGCCTTGCGGCACCGGCACACCGGGTTCTAGTCCCGGTCGGGGCGCTGGATTCTGTCCTGGTTGCCTCTCTTCCAGGCCAGCTCTCTGCTATGGCCCAGGAGTGCAGTGGAGGATGGCCCAGGTGCTTGGGCCCTGCACCCGCATGGGAGACCAGGAGAAGCACCTGGCTCCTGGCTTCGGATCAGCACAATGTGCCGGCCGCAGCGGCCATTGGAGGGTGAACCAACGGCAAAAGGAAGACCTTTCTCTCTGTCTCTCTCTCTCTCACTGTCCACTCTGCCTGTCAAAAATTTAAAAAAAAAATGTATTTGGTTGTTTAGTATTGATTTGTGCATTTTATATATAGAATGAGATCAATTTCATAAAATAAATAATATGTATGTATAAACAAAGAAAACAGACTAGTAATAAATACACCTGTTTTAAGCACTTACTAGTGAATTGTGGATTTTAAGTGATTTTTTTCTTCCTATTTGTATTTATCAAATTTTCTACAGCAGGCACAATCATATTTTCTATTTATAATATATGTAAATACCTGTATTTAGATAAAACTTTATTTCATTACAGATTAATTTGATTCTATTTAAAAACAAAGCTGGGGCCAGCTTTGTGGGGTAGCAGGTAAAGTCTCCATTTGCTATACCAGTGCCCCACTTTGGTGCCAGTTCAAGTCTTGGCTGCTCAACTTCTGATCCAGCTCCCTGCTAATGCACCTGGGAAGATGCAGCAGAAGATGGCCCAAGTGCTTGAGCCCCTGCACCCACATGGGAGACCTGGAAGAAGCTCCTGGCTCCTGGCTTCAGCCTGGCCCAGCCCTAGCAGTTGCTGCATTTGGGGAGTGAAGCAGGGCATGGAAGATATCTCTCCCTCCTCTCTCACCATAACTCTGTCTTTCAAATAAATAAGATAAATCTTAAAATAAAAGCAAAACTATAAATATGTCATGTACTCATAGAATGGCAGATGTCCTAAACAGCACTCTGGCCTCAGAATCAGCCCTTAAGGCATTTGGATCTGGCTAAAAAACTCATGAGAGTAATTCAGGAATGGAAAGCCAAGGCACTCTGGCAAAAAAAAAGAAAAAAAAGAAAAAAGAAAAAAAACCTAAATGATAGATCTCTGTGAGTGAGATCTCAGTGGAAAGAATGGGTCATCAAAGAAGGAGGTACCTTTCTCTGAAGGGAGGAGAGAACTTCCACTTTGACTATGACCTTGTCTAAATAAGGTTGAAATCAGCGAACTCAAGAGGCTTCCATAGCCTTGGAAGCTCATGACAAGAGCCTCGAGTGATTACTGACACCATAAATAAGAGTGTCAATTGTGGCCAGTGCCACAGCTCACTTGGCTGATCCTCTGCCTGCGGCGCTGGCACCCAGGATTCTAGTTCTGGTTGGATCGCCGGATTCTGTCCCGGTTGCTCCTCTTCCAGTCCAGCTCTCTGCTGTGGCCCAGGAAGGCAGTGGAGGATGGCCTAAGTACTTGGGCCCTGCACCCGCATGGGAGACCAGGAGGAAGCACCTGGCTCCTGGCTTCGGATCAGCGCAGTGCGCCAGCCATAGCGGCCATTTGGGGGGTGAACCAACAGAAAAGGAAGGTCTTTCTCTCTGTCTGTCTCTCTCTCACTGTCTAACTCTGTCTGTCCAAAATAAATAAATAAATAAATAAATATACTTTAAAAAAAAGAGTGTCAATTGTTAAATCAACAACGGGAGTCACTGTGCGCTTACTCCCCATGTAGGATCTCTGTCCTTAATGTGTTGTACTATGTGAATTAACGGTATGACTAGTACTCAAACAGTACTTTATACTTTGTGTTTCTGTGTGGGTGCAAACTGTTGAAATCTTTACTTAGTATATACTAAGTTGATCTTCCATATATAAAATTAATTGAAGATAAATCTTGATGTGAATGGGATGGGAGAGGGAGCAGGAGATGGGAGAGTTGTGGGTGGAAGGGAGGTTATCGGGGGAAAAGCCATTATAATTCAAAAGTTGTACATTGGAAATTTATATTCATTAAATAAAAGTTAAAAAAAGTCATGTAATTTAGAAGAATCACCACTGCAAACCCAAAAACTGCATTCAATCTTTTGAAATCATTTGTAGATCTGTGTCCATTCTAAGTTGAATTAAATGGAGGTTCAGAGCCTTGGATTTCAAATCAGAGGACTTGGATTAGAATTCTGACCCAGCTATTTGGAGCAGTTTTTACATAACTGACCTGGGTTTTGGAAACTTTGAATGCTGTGTCCTCCCCAGGTTGGTGGCTTCAGGGCAGGTATCCCAGTTCCGGTTCAAATTCAATGGCCCCAGCTGGGCAGCCTGGGCCTAAGCAGAGTAGGCTGCACTTCCCGCAGTCTACCACTTGGTGG